CAGTGAGAGTGTGCTATTGCCTGTGCAACGACGTGTGCGTTAAAATAGAGCCAAACGATAAAATTATACATTTACTAAGCGAAAAAACTTTATTTGATAAAATTTTCAACAAAACGTGAGTAAAGGTTTTTAATTTTATACATTGAATGTAAATTTTGTGGTTTCGTATAAATTAGGTATAGAAATGAAAAGAGCCAAGCACTGCAGTTCTGAATGCCGAAAACTGATAAACACTTTGAGTTTACTATCAAAAAGCCAAAAGAAAATAGCTCGAATAGTTGGCTGCTAAAGAAAAATGGTTGCGAATGCAATAAATTATAAAGAAAAACTAGAAAATAGAGGTAAAAAATCCAAAATCAGTGTGAGTCAGGTGAGAGAAAATCCGTTTGTGACCTCTTCCGCCCTTAAGAAGCAATATTCGTTGAATGTGAATACTTTAACCATTCGAAAGTTATCAATCAAAAACAATTTGAAAGCTAAAGTTGCTCGGAAGTTAGCGTTTCTGACCATAGTCAATATAAACAAACGGTTAAAATTTGCCGAAGATCGTGCTGAATGGCCAGTTAGTAAATGGCGAAACATTCTTGGGTCAGATGAAAATAAAGTGAATTTATTTAACTCAAACCAAGGTAGTCTTTCGGTGCGCAGACCCCCAATACCGAATTCCTTCCACAACACAATAAAAATACGGTAAAACATTGCGGTGGGAGTATAATGGTTTGGGGGTGCATCTCATATTATGGAACAGGTCCGCTATTACGGGCACAGGGTAGAATGGATGCATTACAATACACCAAGATTTTAAATGAAACCATATTACCTTATGCGGAGTTTAATATGCCGCTTCAATGGGTCTTTCAACAAGATAATGACCCGAAACACACATCGAAGCGGGCAAAGAAATGGTTGAGACAAAACTGCATCTCAGTTTTAAGCTAGCCCCCGCAATCACCAGACCTCAATCCTATAGAAAATTTATGGCGTGAGGTTAAAGTGGCTCTGAGAGGCCAAAATCCATCCAATAAAGAGGATCTTTGGAGACTAGTCAAGGCCGCATGGCATTAAATTCCAGCTGTTATGTACCAGAATTTAGTGGATTATATGCCCAGACTTTGCGCAGCAGTTATAAAACACAATGGATACTGCACTAAATATCAATATAACAGTTATTATTCTTTATCCTTTCTATTGATTATTTCATTAAAAATTACAGATTTCTAATTTCTCTCTAATTCAAAGCACAGCCAAAACGGGACATGCTAATGAGTTTATAATTTTTTAATTTTGATTTTAGACTTAAGACTTTTAATTGGTATCTTAATATATACTCCATGTGTTGTTTCTTTTCTACCAATAAAAAACAAAAACTTGAAAAAAACAAAATTTCTTGAAATATATTGATTTAAAATATATCTATAATACTGTCTCTATTTCATCGCACATCACTGTACATATTTTGAGTTGACAAAATTTGTTTCAATCGACAATCTTGCGACAATGGCGTCTATGTTGAAAATTGACTTAAATATGCTCTTTTGAAGTACTGTTGTTTTCGATTTTGCTGCATTTTCATGCCATTGAATTTAGATAAAATGGGCTAAATCGAAAAGCAGAGGAATCATGATATAAAGTAAACATACAAAAGCACTATATGGAGTGTGCATGGAATTCATAGAAGTTATTAAAGATTTTATATGAATAGCAATTTTCTATACATTTTATAATTTATTGACATATTCATACATATAATACATAATATGATATAAATTAAAATAATATGAATTTGTTGTAGGTGTAATATGTAATACTTAGAAAACATGTCGCAAGTTTGCTCGAATCTCATTGGTCGATGATGTCGCTTACGAGAATGCTAAATTTTTTACAAATACCATCTTGAGGGACATACGTATGTACGTATTTATGCATATATTTATTACCCCGTACCAATGTAACACACTGGTTCCTAGAAAGAGCAAACGCTGCAGGAAAGTGATTTTGCAAAAGAGATCCAAAATACTGGACTAAACAAAGCAAGTTTTTTAAACAAAAAATCAAATTATTTTATCTGACTTAATTATATGAGCACGAAATACCATATATGTACATACTAATGAAGAAGAAAGTAGATTTCTGTTTTTATCAATAAATTTTAATTTTATGAATTTGTACACCATGACGTTTAGGTGAAAAGGCAATTCCAAAAATATTCACATACAATTTGGTAATTTGAAACAAGTAAAAAAGAGTTCACAAATTAGACTCATTTAACCAAATATGGTCTGTGGTGCTGCTTGTATAGCAAATTCATTATTGCAACATCAAATATTTTTCCTAAGTTCAAACCTAACACAGCTATTTTCTCTTTTTCTGTATGTTTTTTATACACCTTTTTTTTATTAAATGACATTTTAATTACATTTTCATTATTATTTCCCTCATTGTTTACATTTTCTTGTCATAAGTCAATTCCTTTTCTTTTTGTTATTTTAATTTTCGCTCATACGCATGCCGAAGAACATTTGCGCATACATTTTGCTTGGTTCCCTTATGGAGTGGTGAAGTTCGTTGAGTTTCCTGATTGAGTGCTGAAACTTAATTTACGAACTTACACTTTTTCGATGTTCCCTCACAATAATTACATTTTAAAACAGCTAACATTTGCGTATTTTCTTTTTATTAACATTTTTGACGGAACTTACATGGTTTCCGATTTCTCTAGCCACCCTAAAAGTATGCACTGTTTTTTAGTTTTAATTTAGCCAAGTGGCAAAGCAGTGTTAATGTTAATACTGCCACCGATTTTATCACAGAACCAAAGTAATTTTACCATCTTACACAAATTTTAAAATTTTAACTTTTTTATTATCAAAATATACTAATTTTCAATTAAAAAAGCACTATAACTAATTCAACAGGCTCTACTTTAGCGAACAAGCACCTGTTACTTGTAACTAGAGCATGTAACTTCCGGTGGCAAATGCAGAAATGCATTAAATGTGGCTGCTTTATGTACGAGTTTTCAAATCGAGCGAGCATTTTACCACGAAATGCACGTGGTTCAATCGGTGGCATAAAGAAAAAAGACCACAACGTCCGTACCTACGGCGCAACTGAGATGCTTCAAATAACATCAATACATAGCATTGTTATTGTACTTGTCGTGTCTTTGCCGGATAGCAAGTGTAAACTTATTATTGATGGGGAAAGAGAAAATGTGATTAATTGCCTGGATACAGAACGTTTTCGCAATGAAAGAATACGAAATACCTGTACAAATATGTGGTTGAAGTCCCCACAAACACGCTGTGGACATTCATTAAATATCCAATTAAAGTATAGAAGCATTTCAATGCATACATATATGCATGTATGTATATTTCGATAAATTTGTTCGAACTGTGTATTCGTGTAAGCCTCAGCGTAAATACGATTGCATTTGTACAAATGTACACACATATATGACATCATCAGCTGATTTGCAATTATATTGCACGTCCATAACTAATTTGTAGAAATTTTAAATACTTCACGTTTTTAATGTATACATTTCTAGAGATATACTTTACTAACCTGCCTTCGTTAGTGTTATAATCTGAGATCCACTGGAGTATACCATTTCTTTGTCACTTATTATGCGCACAGAAACTCCTCGGCGAATCGCACGCAAAAATGCCTGCGATAGATCATACGATGTAAATGTGTACATTGCTAGATCAATGGTATATTTTGATTTATCAATTAACGCTATTAAACGACCGACATTATTGGCAGCACAATACCGATTTTGACATGATGGACTCACGTTAGGAGTAGGTAATTTCGTAATATGTCCATTTTCAACCATTCTATTCGATGGACTTTCGTATGTGGGACTCTTACGTTCAGATGGCGATTTTAGTATGTGACTACCAGCACAGCTTTGTGTCAGCTCATTCGTCCAGATGACTTCGGCTATTTCGTCATCAGATGCATCGCGACGCCACAAACGTTCGCGCACGTACAAATAGCCACGATAAAAGATTTCTGACAACAACACTACCGAAACGCCCGTAGTCAGGCTATAAAACGTGTAGCGCAACACCCGATTCTCCAACATTTTTAATAAACTAATATCGAAGATATTTCACTTGCACAATATATTATCAATTTTATTTATTAAATGCTCTTTCACTTATTATTTTTCAATAAAACCTTCACGTAAACAATATGAAATGACAGAATTGAATTGCTCTGCTTTTGTTGGATTTTGTTGCGCTACAAAAAGAAGGGGTGGGGGTATTTGATTACCTACAAATTCATTGTATGCAGAACTGAAGGAACACACAAATTAAAAATTACCGAAAAAATAACAAATTTAAAGGCTTTCAGCAATAAAATGCACTTTGATAACGAATAATCACTTGTAATACAACTCGATGAATTTCAATATTTGAAATTGGCCAATTGCAACCCGAAGCAATCAACATGCATGCACTAGCCGGTGTCAGTCGAACTGTGCAAAAGCTTTTGTTTCAAATGATTAATACCGCTTTTTACACGTTTTGTGGTTTATAACACATTTTAATAAAGTTATTTATTGTTATCTTCAAAAAATTACAATTGCACTTAAACGGAAATGATGTCAGTTGCAAAAAAATATAGGTTCGCGAGATGCAGCGGCCAAAAATGCACGTGTCGTTGAAGGCAAATTGCTGACAGGCAAATCAGCTGTGCTAAGGTTAGTAGTGTTGCCAACATTCCACATTTATATTGATTTATTATTTGCTCAATTGGTACAAGGTCGCAACTAATTCTTATTGGAAATAAGAAATTGTTTGTTATTCTTTTTGTAATAATAAAAACGGCAAGAACACGAATTATGAGCAAGAAATATATCGGACTAGACATGAAAATGGTGTTTCGACTGTTATTCATATTCTTGTTATTCGAAAATTCTTTATCTCAAAATGTTCAACATAACATATGAAGAAAAAGATTTATTTTGAGGAGAAAATTGCACATTTTGGGTGGCTGTGAAATTCTTTATTTATTTAAAATTAAACCAACATATTGTTTTAGATTGTAATTATCTATGTTTATATATTGAAACCAGTAAATCAAACTTATAAGCGTAAGCAAATTTTTAATTCATTTTGATAATCAATTCTCCATCTGTTTTCTCTTTCTACTATTATTTATGCACATCTTTCTATACGTCCTTTCTTCGTTACTAGAGGTTTATTATTAAGTTTTCTACCGCAACTGATTATAACGAACTTCACCTGTCTTGCGGTTTGAGAAAAAGTTACGAAGAATTAAAATCTGGCCAAAGCCAATAACTAAAACAATACACGTCTCTAGACCAGACCACATCATCACAGCTTCATTCAAATCTTCCGCCCTTTTGCGTCCCTTTGATTCACTCAGACGGTGATGTGTTTGAGCATCAAGAATATCATTGAGACTCTTGTGTATCGACTGTGAGGATGTTTCCATTTGAGTGAGGACAGTGGCATGTTCATCGATACCAGGTAATGCTGGCTCATCTCCCACTTGGAAATCCACATACACAATTTTATGTGAAAATGATGAAAATTGATTGCTAAAACATACTTTGTAGACACCCGTTGCCTCAGCGGTAAATTGATGACTATCGAACGTCGCACGCTGTTGTTCGTATATTACTTTGCCATGTGGATTCGTCAAAGTTACATCGACGTCCAACTGACCACCAGCGGATACTTGAAACTCAAGATAGCAGGTGGTATTACGTCGCACCTCTTCGAAGAAGCAATCTTCAGAATTGTCCGCTAAATCAAACGTGAATTCCACCGCCTCTCCAGTGCGGCACGCAATACAGAGCATAAGTGCCAAATAAGCAATGACAAATCTACATCTTATCGTTGGCGATTGCATATTTTTGTTAAAGCTCTCAAGCGTTAGTGCAAAAGTTTTGATAAATAAGTTTTTGTATAGCACTACAACGATGAGTTCGATGCGGTGCCACGCAATGTGTCAGGAGCAAGAGCTGCACCTAAAATATTAGAAGAAACTGTTGACTAGTAACTTCGGCGAATTATAAAAATTACTATACTTGTCTTACTGGTAGAAAAACACCACAAATGGGAATTAAAGTACTATCTTTGGTTTATTATAAATTAATAACGAATAATACGATTTGTTTGCTTTTACGTTTAACTTTTCTAGTTGTACAAACGATGAAAAATTCTGCTTAATTTGACAGCTGACAACTGACGTGTCAGAATTATTCACAGCGTTACCAGGCAAGCAGAGATTCAAATAAATTTTTTTTAAGTCATTTAAGTACACACTACACATTTTTTAATGGTTTCTGTTTTTTTAGCAAGCAAGTCGAATTAAAAAAACCATATTTATGTATTTGTGCGGTTTAAGTGTTTTCTAAAGAAAATTAATTTTTCTGAACAACTTCTAAACACGCTTCCTTCGCACTAGGATACTTAAATTTAAATCCACTTTCCAAAGTTCTTTTAGGTTGAACCTTAGCACCGGATAGAAGTAATGCAGAACGGTCTTTGCCAAAAAGCGCTTGTACTACAAACTCCGGTACTGCGAATAGACAAGGACGTCGTAAAGCGGAAGCAAAAGCCTAAGTGCAAAAAGAAAATGGAAATATATTAATTAAAACTATATATAATTATAAAAAATAGTCAAATTCCAAATGTTTAAAATGTGTCCTTTCATGCATGAGATTTTGTTTTTCTTTTATAGACTTACTACTTTTACAGGAAATAAGTTATAGGTAAATTTACCTTTGAAAATTCGCCATTAGTTACAATTTCCGGTGCCACACCGTTTATTACTCCCTCTATTTTGTCATTTTCAATACTTCTTTGTACTAGCTGGCATAAATCATATAAATGAATCCAAGGCAGAATTTGTTTTCCACTGCCCAGAGGACCGCCTAAACCCAATTGGAAAGGAAGCCAGATATTCTGAATCATTCCACCTGTTCGTCCTATTACAACCCCAGTACGAATTTTAACCTACAAATATTATATAAAATTTTAAATAACTGTTTCACTATGCAGAATATTAAGTCAATTATTTGAAAAGTTATTATGATTATTTATACTCACGCCCCTACAGTGCGTAATATTCCCTGGTAATGTTGCTGCTTTCTCCCACTCTAAGCATAATTTCGACATAAAATCAAATCCTTCCACTGGATCACTCTCAGTATAAATATGCTTATCATCAGGTTTATAGTGACTTACGCCTGATACATTAACAAAAGCTTTGACTTGAGGTGCATCTGCAATAGCTTTCACTAATGCTGCACTTGTGTTTACACGAGAAGTCCACACATTTTGTTTAAAGCCATCCGTCCAGCGTCGACTTGGATCTAATACATTTTGTCCTGCCAAATTTACAACAGCTGTAACACCATTTGGTATGCCGTTCCGCTCCAGTTCTAACCAGGTAATGCGCTTTAGCCCAGGCATTCGGGATATTACAGTGACATCATAACCATTTTTGATCAAGTGTTTGTTTAACCCTTTACCAATGAATCCGGTTCCTCCGCCTAAATAATGTGTCCATAAGAATATATTGAAAAACTGACATTTTTTTTTGTTACTACCAACCGATTAATGCATGTCGCGACATAATTTACTCTACGAGTATTTCGATTTTATTCTACAATTTACGTAAAGTTACTAAGTACTAAACTCACACAAGAATGAAAATTTCAGTGCTGTAAGCGAATGTTGCGAGCAAAACAAAACGGTCAATAATCGCACTGAGTGCACTTCGCTAATATTATGGCAATTACTTATGTGGAGGCCACAGAAAATTTTTTTCATAGCTTAATGAATATATGCTATTTAATGCATTAAAATTTATTTGTGCGCTGAATATCTTTCGGTAGAAATCAAATAAATTAATTTTATGTTATTGATAGATAATCATTTAAATAATTATCAATGAAATTACTTTAGAATTTCAATGTATCAATACGGCAGCCTTGTTTAATAAATAATATACGGCAACCAATCCACTAAACTGTCAAATATTTTTACTTTTGCTTTATTTCTAAATTCGGTGAAACATATCTCATATTCTTTTCTAAAAGTCAAACTACAATTCCGTGATCCACATAGCTTAATTTCTTTCCTATCCTACATTGGTAAAAAGCGTTGTTACTGTTGTGAAATGTCTGCTCCGCTAGAAAATCTTGAAACCCAATTGGAGATGTTTATTGAAAATGTCCGCCAAATACGGATTATTGTAAGCGACTTCCAGCCACAGGTACGTGAAAGGTTACAAACGACTGTCTACCATATCCCACTGAAATCAACAATTTTTATATTTGTTATGTAGGGTCAGAATGTGCTGAACCAAAAGATGTAAGTTATTTTGATAGATCTTATTGAGTATTGCATATAAACATTTTTTGTTTTCTATAGTCAAGGTTTAGTGACCGGTCTACAAGAAATCGATAAGCTTAAAAATCAAGTGCAGGACGTCTTCGTCCCATTCGAAGTATTCGATTACATTGACCAAGACAAGAATCCTCAATTATATACAAAAGATTGCGTTGAAAAGGCATTGGCCAAGAATGAGGAAGTTAAAGGCAAAATTGATGCTTACCGCAAATTTAAGGCCAATATGCTATTAGAGTTATACAAAACGTTTCCAAATGAAATGAATATGTATCGTGCATACCGCCCGGATTCTATTTAAGTGTATTAAGTGCATATGAAGGCGTTATCTTCGTACAACTTTGTAATTTTTGTATAAGTTAAAAAAGTTTGTGTACATTTAGATATAGTATTTTAATAAATATTAGCATACAAATACAGAAAATTAGTAACAACCATTTCTGTAACGATGGGTTATTGCTATAGGTAAATTGTAAATACAGCGAAATATTTCTTAGCATCATTTGAAGGGTAATTATATATTGTTCAGTTTATAAGATATCGAATTGAAATTTTGCACACGCCCTTTACTCCCCAAGAAGTTGCTCATTTGTCGAAACCACTGATATCGGATCCCTATAGCAAATAGCTGCCGTACAAATTGAACGATCAAAGTCATGTCCTTATTTTTATTTGGCAAGATATCTTTGCGAAATTTGATATGGATTTTTGTCCAAGGCTTGTGTAGGGTATTACAGTTTCAGTGCAACTGTTTTTCAATATAAAAACAAATTTAAATCTTCTTCTACATCTTCAATGAGGCTTTGCTGCTAGAGACGAAGGACCACCTTTCAAAGTTGGAGGTTATGCTAATCTATTTGTGTACGTTACCACGTAGTGTCTGACAACAAAAAACAACTCTGTAGGAACTTTGAGAAATACTGCCGAGTTGACAGTTCCTTCCTGATCGGATAAAGATCCCAGTCCGTTCCGGTCATGTATACGCGAATGTCGTGTAAACGGTAACGAAGCAGTAATTAGTATTTTTTGTTATGCTTCATATACAACACAATTTACCCTTTTAATACAAGAAAGAAATATGCTTGTTTTGGCTGGTTTGTGATAACGTTTAATAAGTTTTATATTTTTGATTTGTTATTACAGTTTTTGGTTTTTAGTTTTCATAATACCTGTTTAAAATTTTCTTCAAAAGAACTAAAGCACGACGTGATTTGAAATGGGTTTCGAATAATAATAAAATACATCTGTAAGATTGTTGTAATCAGGAATAATTTCGCTGTTTTTTGTTTTAATATTTGCAATAATTAATAATGTAGGTAAAGCTTAAATGCATTATTAAGTATGTAATTAAATAGCTTATAATAGGAGATTTTGTAAATATATAAATAATCGTTTCTACATTGGCTTTGTGAATAATCATTTGTAATAATTTCCAGTGCTCACAAATAGTTACAGTTTTAGTTTTTTTTTCACAACATACGTATTTCAAAGAGAGGAGATACAATAACATTGAACATAAATCCACTTTGAATAATTCAAAATAATTGCATATATTTTTATTTGTGGATTAATCAACAATCTCAAAACAGTCAATTTTATACCCGGCCATACATACGCTAACTGGTGTACATAGTATATTACGTTTTTTTTCATTTAGATATCAAATAAAATTTTTTTATTTATTAGCCATAAGGCTTTGGGTTAAATCAATTACTTTCGAAAGTTTGTCAACTATTTTTTTCTTTCATCGTATATATATTTTTTTTAAGAATAACAAAAAACATATAATTTGCAGCATCGACGATAGGTAAAAAAAGGTCGTCATCATCATAAACCTATAGCATCACATTTCTTTTATGTACTTATACGCATTTAATAATATATTTACTGCTGATCACAACATTGCCCAATTAGAGTCTGCGCCTGCGCATTGGGTGGTCATTTATTCTCGCAGCAGCCATTCAATGCCAACTGCTTCTGCAGTGCGGGCGGCAGCGAATCTTTCGTTTTGGAATGATTGCCCTTACCAAGTAATGTGGGTTCGATCACTTTGCCCTCCTGTATGTCCTTGATTCTCTTGAGCAAATCGTAGTTGATGCGATCACTTACAACAGAGTCTTGTCTGTAATGAAAAATGTATATTTAATCGAAAAATAGTAGGAATGTTATATTGGAGGTTATTGTTATTATTATTTACGCCTATAACAAAGACACTAATTGCACGCCTACACTTAATTAAATTGACAATTATTTACTCACTTATAATCGGGATGATTTAACACTTGCTCGCGCATCCAAGTAGCAGTGGTGACCAGCTCACCAGAAGCACGCTTCTCTATAAAACGTAAATACTGCTCAATTGTGCAATGAGTGTCGGGATCAACTTCCATTGATTGCAAATAACTGCGAATGAGCGGCACGAGACCAGGGAAAGAGTCAGTCTGCAATAAAAAAATATTTAATTTAGTTTAATTGATTGCTATTTTTCAACTTCAATCTCAGCTTACCTTTCCATTGAAAATTTCGCCAACTGTCAGCAATTCAAATTCCTCGTGATTAGTTTCGCCATTCTCCTTAGTACCGTTGTGTACGCCATTGACGCCATTGCCATTTATGTAGCAGCTCTTTTTAGAAGTTTTGCGGAACCAGAATTTTTCTTTGCGACAAGCGTCACGCTTCTGAGCAGTTTGCATGTTTTCATCAACCTGAAAAAAGTGATATTTACATTTAATAACAATTCATTAAAAACATGTTTTTATTGTTGTTTCATTATGTGTATTATTATCACTCGCTCACCTTACTAATGGGGATCAGGAAATTCAACTGATACGATAGTATCACTCGTGTCAGCAGCACGACAAAGCAAACAATGGCAGCATTTTCAAAGTCACTTATCTGTGCCTCACATGGCCGGAACTCCACACGCCAGCCGATCGACGAATTCGGAGGTGGTGGCTTGAAGCGCATTGTCTGCCAATTGGTCGATTGTATATTCTCAAAGTGGTCCGTGTCCTCTTCGTCATTTTGATCGATTTTCTCACTAAACAATGAAACCGTATCGCGTATGAACAAGTGTGCCACATGTTGCGCCAATAGTGGATCAATGCCGCCATCACGTAAACGTTTATAATCTTCTTCGGCGTAAGTGATCGGTACGTCATTGTATTCGGCACCCTCTGGTGAAAGATATGAATCGATCGAATCATATCTCGATTTTGCGATACGGAACTTATTTTCATTTAATGGTCGTAGACCACGCTCCTCTTCGGTTCGGCAGTCTACTGAGGAGCTTATCACATTCCAACGACAGTCGGATTCGGTTAAATAACCGCGATATATGGGCGATGCTGCTGTAAGTGCTAACATAATGGGACACAATGGCGCCAATTGATCATACAATTTGCGTGCCTCATTGATGTTACAGGCCTGGAATGTAAGTTGCAGACAACAACAGCCCATACCGAAGCCCATGGCGTCGAGTGCAACGACATCGGGCTCACCCTTTGGAGCACCCTCTACGGGTAGCTTTGTGTTTACATCTTTGAAAACTGTTATTGTTAAATATAATATTATATAGTAGTTTAAGTGCTTAAAGCCTGTTATCATAATGCCTTTTTATACCTTTTAATTTGATGGCGACTTTCTCGCCACGTCGTTTGCGTATATTACGTGTTAACGTCTTGAAGCGTGGATGTGCTGGATATATGGCTTCATCTGGAAAATATAACGATTTAGCTGAGCTACTCGGATCGTCCGGATTTGGATAGTAGATGGGATGTGTGAATTCCGGTGCCCCCAAACGTGGAAAATTCGTTATGGACATGACACACTCATCTTTGTCCAGTATTTCTGTGACCTCTTCACGCCGGTAACGCATATTCGCCTCCACTAGATTAAAGTGTGCCATAAGACCACCAAACGGCTTGCCCGGTGTACCCTCGATCATGTAAGCACCATATTCGGGGCGCCACAGTGACTTGACGCCCTTAGGATCGGCTAATTCTTTTTCATTAAGGTGATTTAGTAGTTCTGGCGCTTTTAGCGAGACACGTGCAACGCGATTTTCATCGTCAAACTTAACGATTATATATTCAACCTCATCACCCCATTTGAGTATGTCGCCAGTGCGATCCTTCAGTCTGTGATAGAGATTTATAAACTGCGTAATGCCATGTTCACGCACATGTTTGGCTAATTTTTTGGTTTCTTCCCATGAGAGTGGACTGCCTTCGCTGAGTAAACCCATTTTAGATGTGAATAACTGCAAGAAACGATAAAGTACATATTAATAGGGTTTGGTATATGCAGGCTTATATGTATTTGTATATATAAATGTAGCTAAG